GCTGGCTCAGAATAGAGACTGAGGGGTTGGGGCTGAGGTCTCACCAGCCTGCCTCTGAAGGTCCACCCCATCCCTGCCCTGGTCTAGACACTGTGTCTCTGGCCTGGGGTTCAGCCCTGGACCCCAGGACACCCCAGACAAAGAGGAGCTGCTCTCACCTGAAGCCTGCTATGAATGCAAGATCAACGGCCTCTCCCCTCGAGACCGGCTAAGGCGCAGCACCCATGGAGACCACCAGGTGCCACGGGGGCCACACCAGGCAGGGGCAGACAGGGGACAGGTCGAGGGTGGGAAGAAAGCTGTGGGCCCACCTAAGCCCCCCCGCAAGAAAGCACCAGATGGCATGTGCTCGTGCCCTATGTTCTGGTGCCTTCTTGGGCCTTCCTGGACTTCCTCAGCCCCGGGATTTCCCTTGGGGACTCTCTGGGGGACACCCCCCAGCATACTCCCTCGTTCCTGGTGTAAGTCAGGCAACTCCCACATAGACCCTGATCAGGCTATGAAGCTTCCCATGAGTCCTTTCCATGGCACTTGGATGCAAGGGAAATACCTCAGTGCCCCCAGCCCTGCCTGCACCCTGAAACCTGTCACCCCTCACCTCCTGGCTGGTGAGGCCTTCCCTTGGGGACCCACTGGATTTAGCACCAATGGGGCCCAAAGCTGCCAGCCAAATAGCTTCTGCCCCATGGCTTGGCCAGGCTCACTTACCCTGTAAATCCCTCAGGGCTGTTTTCACAAACCCTTTACCTCCAGTCACCAGTGCCCAGCCCAGGTCAAGCCATAGCTCCTTTCCTGCCTTAGCCTTGGGGAGGAAAATCCTTTCTCTGGGAGCCACCAGCAGAGGATCCCCTTAGAAGGCACACCACCCAGCATTCCCCACCCCCCGTGCCCCTTTCCTGTGCTTCAGATGCCCCTGGAGCTCCCAAACCCACCTTACCTCTAGGAATCTCAGGAGCCCTCCCCAGGCCTCTCGAAGACAACAGAGCAGGACTACAGCTTTGTCCCTCCTGCCACCTCAGGCCACTCCAACCAGCGGACCAGGGTGTGCAGGGAGGACAGTTTTGCCACTGATTTGAGGTGCTTGTCCCTCAGCTAGAGAGTCCCTGAGGCCACTGCTGGTTGGTCCTGCCACTGTCACCCAAGGAATCTGAAAGCTATACATTTGTTAAGCACCTGCTGGAAGCAGGTGTTGCTCCAGGCACTCTAACTTCACAGCTCTCAATGTTTACCACAACCCTGGGACGTGTAGATGCCTCTGTTATCCCCATTTTCCAATGGGGAAACAGAGTCTCAGAGAGGTTAGATCGCATGCCCAAAGTACAGAACTTGAAAGTGGTGGTGTGGGGACTTCACAGCTATGGAACAATCTCCTCTTTACGAGCAGACTCGGTCTTCGTGGCCAAGAATCCCAGGCTCCTCTGCAGTCACTACCTTCTGAGGCCATCACCTTACATCGTTTCCAAAAAATCACCACTGAGCACAAAAGCCATTACCCCAAGCTCCCCTCACTCCTGCAGACATGTCCTAGGACCAAACTCTTTCACTCCACAGATTTTACTGAATACCTGTTGCACACTGGGCACTGTAATGCAACAGCAGTAAACAAGGAAACTAAAAATCCCTGCCCTTGCGGGGCTGACAGTCTAATGGGGAGACAGAAAGAAAGGATCAATAAGTAAAACAAGAAATCAATAAGTTATATTATACGAGGGTAGTTCCAAAGTTCATGGAAAAATACAATTAAAAGATAATACAAATCTTTCTGTGAACTTTTCAAAGTATCCTCATATTTTATAACAATTGATAAGTATGATACATGATAAATGCTATGGGGAAAAATAAAGCCAAAAGTGGGATAGGAGTGTTGGATCTGAGGGGCTTTCAATATTAGATTAACTAAATGTGAATGTATTACTTTGCCCTCTTTTTCCCTTTAGTTGTTTTTCCCTTGCTGGGAAAAACTGACTGTATACATTATCCCGTAGTTACTGTTATTTTCTGTAAGCTTCACAAGGGAAGAGCCCTGTGTCTGTCGGGTTTGCCGCCTTATCACCAGCCCTTGGTACTCAGTAAGAGAGGGTGGAGGGGTCACCAGGGCTCCTAGGAGGGGCACAAGTAATCTAGACCTAGAAGAGTTTTGTGCATGCCTTTGCCTGCAATAACCACTGCCTGCCAGCAGGTGTCAATAAAAGCACGTCTGAGCAAAAGTCAGGGGGAAAGGCTGAGATTTCCAGAAAGGAGGGTCTGGAGAACAGGAGTAGCTTTCACAGCAAAACACTCCATTGGCATGTAAATGAGGAGAAACAAATACAGCACTGCCCAGAGCGAAGGAGAAGAAAACAGATGACCTTCTGTGGGATTGGCTACATCCCCTAGCCTGGGATAGCCTGCTATTGAGGCTCGCTGACTTATTCAGAGGCCTGTCCAGCTGCCAGGACCAGGAAGGCACTTCAGAGGAGCTCAAATAAAGAGGGGTTTGTCATCTGCACACAGGGGGCTCTCAAAAAGAGCCAGATGCAGGAAGTACTGCAGAAGCTTTTGGGTGGCTCTTCAGTCTGGAGCTTGCTGTCCTCTCTGACCTGGCTGGGTGTCCTGATTATCTTACTCTCAGCTCCAGTGTCCTTTTTGGGTCTGGCTTTTGCCGAAAGGCCCTTGGTCATAACACCAGCCATCCCAGACCACCTCTGGGGCCCATTGCTATTTGACCGACCTCCTGGCTCGGTCTCTGGGGACAATCTTTGTTCTGATTTCCGAGGACAATCTTTGATTTCCTTGACCCAGGCTAGCAGGGTTCTGACCAAGGCCCCTCAGTTGAGACTAGGAGTTTGGAGTCTGTGTTTATTTTTTTATTTTTATTTATTTATTATTTATTTTCAAAAGGATGGTGGCATTTTATTCAACAATCTCATTACAAAAACAGTCAGAACGTACATGGCAGCAATATTTAGGAAAAAAACCCTGCCTAGCTTCTGCATGAGTGGGCAGCCCTCTCACCAGCCCCGCCAGATCACTCGGCCCATGGGGGTGACATCTGTGTCTCAGGTGGTGCTCTGCATGGGAGCCCTAGCCTAAGAATGGGACACTGGGCTTGGCTGACACTGTCCATGCTGAACCCCATCCCAATTTTAAATATGCTCAGTTCAGATCTTCCTGCTATCAAGTGTCTTCCCTGCCCCACTGCTGAGGTCCTCCACAGGACAAAGCTGTCCTGGAAACTTCAAACACCTGGCCAGTCTGGAAGGCAGGAATGGAGTTGATTGGAGTCTGTGTTTAAAGTGGCTCCTTACCTGCCCCTCTTTGGTTTCCACCTGAGAACCAGACTGAGCTTTGTGCTGCTGTGTCTGCAGCCCAGGCTGACCATTGGCCTTATGGATGGAGGGCTAGACAGAAATTAAGGGCACTGTACTTGACCTTTTTTACCTCCACTTTAGAGATTGGCTAAAATCTATTCTTTGGCCATGACCCCAGGGCCCCCTACCCACCGCACCCCAATTCTCCCAGCCTCTGACTATCCACCTGGTCTTTCTCCCCAGGTGAGCCTGGCCACCCTTGACTCAGAGGTCCCACTGGCCTTGGGCTTGAACCTGTCACACCTGGGCCAGACTGAGCGCATCCTGGAGCTGCGGCCAGCGCTGGAGGGTCTGCGGGGCCAGATCCACTATGTCATTGCCCACGGCAATGAGCGAGGTTTCTTCCGTGTGCGTCACCTCCATGGCTTCAGCTCCCTGCAGCTGGGACGGCGGAGGCCAGGGCCTGGAACCTACCAGCTGGAGGTGGTTAGTGTGGCAGGGCCTTGGGGTCCCCAGCAAGAGGGGCGCCCTGAGCTGGGGGGCCAGGCCTTGCGGCTGAAGGTGCACCTGAAACTGCTCTAATTGGAAGGGGCCTTGATGGGCCCCCCGAGCTCCCCTGCCGTCTGGAGGTGGGAGATTCTGAAACTGGGAGGGATTGATCCCCAGCAGCAGTGGCTGACCAGGTCAAACCCTGAAACTCAGGATGAGTGAAGTGCTACACTACGACCTCTGTGCCAGCCCGGGGGACCCCAACACTCAGCCTTTCCTGGAGACAGCTAGAAGCTGTGGCGTGTACCCTCCGCCCCACAGCCAGGGTCAAGGAGGGACCCTGTGGTCACTGTATCTGGTCAATCTCAGGCTTAAACTTCTGTACTGCACTGAGGCTCACCCCCAGGGGGTCAGCTAGACATGGGAGTGGGCAGCTGGGGTGGGCGTGGGGCTTGTCCCTCAGAGCACAAGGGCCTTCGGGGCCCTGACCCCACAGAGTCGGTGGCTTGTGGCCATATTCATCCCTCCCAGGGCCCGGGCTAGTGTTCTGAGGATGCTTTTATATCAGAAGTAAAGACAACAATAAAGTTATTTTGGGTTAAGTCTGCCTGCCCCTTGACAAGTTCTCGAAGTAAGTAGACGCTGCCCTCAGCAGAGCCAGGCAAGGCTTATGTGTCGGGTAGCCGGGGGCCTCGTGGGCTCCCCAGTAATGATGACAATGACTCATGCTTCCTGATCACGTACCACGTACCAGACACTGTCCTGAGTGTTTTACCATTACTGACACTTTTGGTTGTTACTACCAGCCCATGGAATAGATGCTGTTATGATCATCCCCATTTTACAGATGTGAAAACTGAGGCTCAGAGAAGTTGGGTGACTTGTCCAAAGTCAGACCAGGTTGAAAGTCGGGCCCATGCCCTCAACCACCATGCCACCCTGCCTGGCTCCAGGTACAGATGGATCTACCAAAATCAGAGCTCAACGGCCGGGATACTCATCACGTTAACAGATACACAGTCAGCGTGTGCCTTATACTACATATGTCACAGATAGTAGCATGTTTGCTCTCCTACAAGGCAGGCAGTATCATCACCCCTATTTTATGGTGTGGGGAGAACCGAGTCTTAGAGAGTGGGACCTGCCCAAGTCACCCACTTAATGTGTGGTGGGGCCTAAATGTAATTTGAGCCTCATAATAAAATGTGATAAGGGCAGGAATGATGTTTCCCCCTGCAACACTGCCAAAGGTTTATTTAAAAGTAATAGAAAAATACATTCTGGGAGGGGTGTCCTTGGACCTACCAAAGCTTTGCAAGGAGCCAGAGGAACCATGAAAAGAAGCTACTGGTGGGCGGTGTATCCTGAGGAATCTTCTCTACCAGAGCCACTGCCCAGGATTTGATTCCAGTCCCTGGAGCAGCAAGGGACTTAAAATAAAGTCAACTTCCTCTTTCCAGCTGCCCAAGAGGCAGGAGGTGGTGGGGTGGAGAGGAGGTCCTCTCCACCCAGGAGGCAGGCACAGGGATGAAGATTTGGCTGGGGCAGCTTTGGCTGCAGGATGGTTGTGGCACAGAAAGATCGAGCCTGTCTTGTGCTGGTGGATCCTGGAGATGTGAGGATTTACAGTCCTGCAGGAGGGATTAGGGAGGCCAGCAGGTGACGGGGACCGCAGTGGAACTGAGGCTTATGAAATAATAAGAAATATACCTATTGGTCTCCTTTCCCAATTCCTGGCACAGAACTTGTCATTTCCTTGGTGATAGTAGAATCTTTTGTTCTGATGAGTGACTCTTGGTGGCTCCCGGACGGGGCTGGTCACCAGAAAGAACAATCAATGATTAGAAGCTTAGATCTTTTGGACCCACCCTCATTCTCTGTGAAGGGGAGAGGGGCCAGATATGGAGTCAATAATCCATCATGCCTACGTGATGAAACCTCTATAAAAATCCCTGAGCTGGGCTGGCCCGGTGGCGCACTGCTATAGTGCGCCGCTTGGGAGCGCGGTGGCGCTCCTGCCGAGGGTTCGGATCCCACATACAGACCGGTTCCCGCTCACTGGCTGAGCGAGGCGCGGGAGCAACACCGAGGGCTGCGATCCCATTGCCGGTCCCAGTCCGGTACGGGGGCGACACTGAGGGTTGCGATCCGTTGCCAGACATGGAAAAAAGACAAAAAAAAAAAAAAAAAATCCCTGAGCTGTAGGGTTCAGGGGGCTTCCAGGATGGTAAACACATCCATGTGCCGGGAGGGTGGTGCACGCCACCTGCACAGGGACAACAGCTCCTGCACTGGGGACCCTTTCAGACCTTGTTCTATGTATCTCTTCCTCTGGCTGTTCATCTGTATTCTTCGTCATATCCTTATAATAAACAGGTAAACTGTTTCCCTGAGTCCTGTGTGAGCTACTCCAGCAAATGAGCGAACCCAAGGAGAGAGCCCTGATTTACAGCCAGTTGGTCAGAAGTACAGGTGACAATCTACTACTTGCGACTGGTTTCTGAAGTGGGGGGCAGTCTTGTGGGACTGAGTCCTTAACCTGTGGCATCTGACACTATCTCCCAGGTGGATAAGGTCAGAATTGAGTTGAGGGCTGATTGGTTAGCTCAGTTGGTTGGAGCGCGGTGTTATAACACCAAGGTCATGGGTTTGGATCCCCATACCGCCAGCCACCAAAAAAAAAAAAAAAGAAAAAGAATGGAATGAGAGGACACTGAATTGGTGTCCACTGGATAAATGCTTGGCGTGTGGGGGTAAAAAAAACCCCAACATCTAGTGTCAGAAGTGTCAGAGGTGTTACGTTCAGTGGTGTGTGAGTAGAGGGAAAAACAGGTTGTTCTTTCTTCTTGTGCGGGCCCTGGAGCTCTCAGTCCACCCACCTGGTGACAGCTCCCCGGGCTGGATCGGGGCCATGGACAGCCCCCTTGTACCCTCAGTGTGAACCTGCAGAGCTGACTGCACAGCCAGTCCCCCTTGGTCCTGGAGGTGAATCCCCCGTCCCTGGGGATCTGGGCTGATTATGAGCCCTCAACCCTTAGCAAAGGTGACAGGTGGCAGATGGTCACCTGGATTAGCTGCTGCTGGGAGGGAGGCATTCCTCTTACTGCTATGAGTGGGATCACTAAACATGGACGATGGTAGCCCAGAGGTTCCAGAACTCAACTTCTTCCTCCCAGCATGAGATCCTGTCCAAGAGACAGAGAGAAATAGATAAGACCTTGGTCAACACCTGGATCCAGCCAAGCCTGAAGGCGCAGGCTGGTTATTTGAGCCATCGAGTTTCCCATTTGCTGAGTGTTCCATCTCCAGCAACTGAAAGTGTCCTGACTGAGTGGGCTGGACAGGACTCGGTTGGTTGGTCATTAATTCAGTCCCCCACTTCCCAGCAGTGGGCTCTCTTTGGGGTAGGGGCGGCTGCCAGAACACTGGGCTCTGATTCCCTCCCTCAGGGGGTTGAGAAGCACAGGGGCCCGTGGGAAGGGAGGATGGGACCCCCGAGTGCTAGGCTGGGGTCTCACCCACCGTGGAAGGTCATCCGGGTGTTGTGGAGCTTCTTGGTCCGTGCATCCAGGAACCTCATGGCCTTTTGCACCCCCCTGTCCTGTGGGTTCCCACACACCATCCTGCGTCTCTGGGGGAGGTAGAATCTGTGGTGGGTGGAAAGGGGGTACCCAGGTTAAGGTGCCAGGGGGGAGCTAAGCTGGGTGTGAACCCCCAGCCCCACGGCCTCACTTACATCACGGCAGGTAGATTACAGCTTCCACTCACGTCCTGGTGCTGGTAAACCCGGGCGTGCCGGAGCACAGCCCACCCAACGTGGCGGTGGTAAGCCAGGCAGCAATCCTCAAAGGCACCTGCAAGTGCATGGCACTGTGTGTGTGCACTTGGCATGGATGGCCAGAGATGTGGGCACCAGCCTGCACATATAGGCACATACCATGACTTTCCAGGCCTGGAGGAGACCTAGGAACAGCTTGCATGATAAAAAAGTCACCTGGCTCAACCTTAGCCCTTAATATGGGGACAGCTGGCCAGAGATGGAGAGCGCCGGCAGACCCCAGCTAGGAAGGGGTCTCTTCCACTCCTGCTCTGTGGCAGAAGGTGACAGAGGGCAGGTGCAGCACCCTGAAGAGGGGCCAGGGCCAACCCTCCCCAGCCCAGTCCCACCCTCCTAAGACCCCACTCCTGCTGCAGACTGGCCAGGTCCCCACATAGGACTAGCTCAAATACCCATCACAGTGACTACTCAAGTTACCTGGCCAGAAACCAGGAGTTCTATGTTGGTTTACCCATTGGTCTACCAAAAGCATTTAAAGAGCCCGCTACTAGATGCCAAATGTCCAGACAAACACAGAGATTACATCAAAACTAGTGATGTCTTTGGGGAGCTCCCAGCCTGGTGAGGGACAGGGACATTGATCTGTGCAGGGGGTGGGGGGGGGTACCCAGAGGAGGAGGTGATGATGCCAGAAACATCTGGGAGGATGAGTAGGTGAAATGAATGAATGGAGAATGAGTTAATGAGTTGGTGGCAGAGGCCAGGGTGGGCTCCTCCCCCGGCTTCTGCAATCTGCCTTTGCCTAACTCACCTCCAGCAGCCAAGTCTGAGTCCAGGCAGAGCCCAGTAGGGGGGTTGGGGGGAGCAGGAGGGATCGAGTCCTCCTGGCATTCCCTAACCTTGGCCCCTGAGGGCAAGGGACAGCGGAGTCAGGTGGAACCAGGGGCTGCAGTGCCAGACAGGTAGTTCCCAATGCTGGGGGGCCACCTTTCCCCCCAGGACCAAAGGGCCTGGGCTGGGCTCTGATAACAGGACAATAAGAACAAAGCGCCAAAGCCCGGCCCCCTCCGGGGCAAAGGCTAAGATCTTCTGGGAACAGGTGCAGGTGGGGGCAGCAGGGTGGGGCCGTGGGTCCTCAATCTGGCCAGGGGCCCTTCTCAGCCAGGTGCTGGGGCTCAGTGGCCTCCCTGGGACCCATGGGGATGTAGGACCCAGTGGTGGGGCTCTTGGGGGCTGCCACATGCCTAGAAGTGTCCTTTGGTCAATGAAATCCTCAAGTGCCTGCTCTGGGGTGGGGAGGAGGGGAGGAAGGGAGGAGGGGAGGGGGTCCCCATGAATAACATGAATGGTTATTATTGTTGTTGCCAGGCACTGAACTCATTGGACCCTCATGTTGGGTTTATGCAGTGGGAATTTGGGATTCCCACTTTGCAGCTGAGGAAACTGAGGCTCAGAGAGGTTGAGTAGCAACTCTCAGCCAGACTGCATGAGGGGTGGGGGTGGGGGACCTGGATGGGAAATCACTCCTGTTGGTCTCCAGGGCTCTGATCTCCAACCCCACCCTGGCTCTGCAGGGTCAGGATGCTCCAGTGTGTCCCTGGCACTTGGAAGCCACCCTCTGCCCTTCACAGTCCCTAGGCTGGCTGAAGTCCTACAAAGGAGCCACCACAGGGACTCTGGAAGAAGCAGTTGGGGACCCTCTGTTCTCCCCACCCCACCTTCCCCAGGAGCTGCACAAATGCCAGGAATTCCCGCATGCCACAGGCAGGAGCCATCAGAGATGGGATCAGGGGAGACTCCTGGAAGAGGGGAGGGGCAAATGGAGTGAGGTGGGGGTGGGGGAAGGGAAGATGAACAGAAAGGGGGAGGTAGGGGGAATAGGGTAAGTATGGCCAAAGACAGTACCTTGGGCGTGGACAGTGGAGTCCCAGGGCCCCACGAAGCAAGCCACCAGGCAGGCCAAGAGCCACAGGTTCATGGTGTGGGGTGCTCCTCTCCCTGGGCACCTCGAGGGATAAAAGAGCCACCTGGGGAGGTGGAAGGGGGTGATGGGGACTCAAGGAGGATGGCTGCAGGCACTGGGAACACCTCCACCTTAAGCCTGGCACCAGGGCCCTTGGCAAGGGAGGCAGGTGGCACAAAATGGGGACAAGTCGTGCTGGAGGAACCTGCTGCTTGCTGGCCTCAGCCATGGTCAGGAAAAGGACTCACCGATGCCTGCTATGTCCGGGGAGCTAGTGCCTGCTGGAGTGTACACCGGGCTCTGCTGTCTGCGGGGCCAGCAGGGTGAACTTCACCCTTTATAGACCGAGCCCCACCCTGCCACCCCCTGCTCTCCCTCCACCCTCCCTCTGCCTCCCCACCCACTCTTCGAGACTCACTCAGGGATTCTCCCAACTGTGTAGCCCCGACGGCCCCCTCGCCTCCCCCACCCCCATCCCAGGCGTCGTGACATGCCTGCTGTCTCCCTAAAGGCTCCTGTCTCCTTCTCTGGTTCCTTCACCTGCACACACCTGGGTGGACACTGGCTTCCTGTGGATAAGCCTCAGACTGCCGAAAGCCCTGAGAGGGAACCTTAACCTCTGTTCCCCACTCCCAAGTCACCTGTTCTGTGGGTCCCTGACTTTATTTCATCGCTCTCTCCTTGCACATAATGGGGTGACTTATGTCACAGGAAAGCCCTAGTTTTGAGAATAGGCGAATTCATAGAAACAGAAAGTGGATTGGCGGTGGCCATGGGCTGGAGGAAGGGTGAACGGAGCGGGGCGGGGTGGCGGGGTGTGGGGGGCGACTGCTCCAGAGTATGGGTTTCTTTTCGTTCTGAAATTAGATAACGTGACGGCTGCAGAACTCTACGAATATAGCAAACACCACGGAATGGTACACCTGCCACGGGCAAAGTGTACGGCGTGTGATCATCCTCCAATACTATCTTGAGAATAATTTCAATAAACTGTTATTAACAACCGCCACAACAAAGAGATGATCTGGTTTTGGAAGAAAAGCCAGGCGTTCCGGGTAGTCATGTCTGCAGGAAGCGAAACAAAATTCACCTAGAAGGCATTTGTCCTTTCCCCGGTGACCCGCCCGGAACAGGAGCAAAAGGTTGGGGGAGGCGGGGAGAGTTGCTGCGGAGACCTCTCGGCTAATTGCTTTTAACTTTTTAGAGCCCACGTCCACAGCTAATGGGCCCTCTCCGGGTATTCATCGCACCCTGAACCCCTCTCTCACTTCTCCAGCTCCACTGGGGAGCTCCTGGTGGCGGCCCCTTCCCTGCTCCCCGGGGCCCGGGCCCGGGGCTTGGTGGCTGGAGCCTAGAGAGGGTGCGGGTCTGAGTGGGTGCGGCTAGGCGTGGGGGCGGGGCTTGGCGTGGGGCTTATGGCGGTGGGCGGGGCTTTATAAACAGCTCGGGCCCAGGACTAGGCTTTCTGGGCGGGGCTTGGAGCTCTTCGTAAGCCCCGCCCCACCCGAGCCCCTGGACGCGCAACCTGCAGGGTCGCCCAGCGGTGCTGTGGCCAGTGGCAGCCCCCGGACCCGAGAGCTGCTGCAGTTCCTCGACCTCTTGCACCGGGTGGATGAAGCTGGGCCGGGACGCGGCTCCGCGTGCCTGCGGGCGTAGGGACGCGGCGTGGCCCGCTGGGGACAGCCTCCCCGCTACGGCCCACCGGCGCCTACCTGTCCCACTGGCGGGCAGCGGCCAAGACTTGGCGTTACCCAGACTTGGCGGAGGTCCCCTGGCGAGTGAGCCTACCTCCCCGCCCGGCCTCACAGGGTTTGTCCCATCGGCAGCCTTCGTGGGGAGGGGAGGGTCTGAGCGAGGGGGCCCTCGAGGGACCAGAACGCAGCGTACACAGGGACATGCTCGCTCGGGACCCAGGTGTCCGGGCGCGAGACTGGATGCTCAGAGAAACGAGGCCGTGAATTAAAGCCTGGAGTTCTGAGGACCACAGTGGCTAAGTGTGAGGGCCAGATCTTCACGATCAGGGCTGAACTGGGGGAAGCCAGGCCAGGGTTAGCTGCTGGGGGCGTTAAGAGTCAACCTTCTCCGCAAGTGTGAAATGAGCACAGCTGGGGGCTCTGAGGATGGGGGTGGTCGGGGGTGGTCTCCAGCCTGCAGCTCAGCCAAACTCAAAAAATTGACACCCCAGAGGTTGCAGGGTTGGGAGGGTAGGCAGGGGTCTTCGTTCCACAAGCCCAGCCAGCTGCAGTGGCAGCGGTTGGGCAGGGGCTCAGCTCAGCTCTGGGAAGCACCCTCCGCCCAGTGGAGGGCACCTCTTGTGGGTACACACGGTTGAAGGATCTTCCCAGACGCTCAATATTGGGCCGACTGTACAGAAGAGGAGACTGAGGGTCAGGAAGGCCAAGTCATTTTACCACCACCCCACCTTTTTTTGTTGGGCAGGAAAACCGGACTTTTATTTCTTAAATACTGTGAAGGAAAGGGTGACAGTTCCCTAATGGAGGAGGGCTGGGGAGCAGAGACCTGGGTTTCATCACAAAGACACAGGGACACTGGGGGAACACTGCAGGCTGAAGTTAGAAGACCCTGGCCTTCTCCAGGTCTCTGCTCAGACTCTTGGCCTCTGAGAGAAGCATTTGAGAGCCTGCCATTGTCATGTTGGTTCGTATGGAGATCTGAACACTTGACCTTGGTGTTATCAACTCTAACGAACTGAGCTAACCGGCCAGCCGCCAGCTGCCTCCAGAGAATTTGTTTATTTGAGATCTTTTTCCTTTTTGATGTAGGCAACTATTGCTATAAACTTCCCTTCGAGAACTGCTTTTGTTGCATCCCATCAGTTTTGGTATATTGTGTGTCCATTTTCATTTGTCTCAAGTTATTTTTTAATTTCCCTTTTAATTTCTCCTTTGATTCATTGGCTGTTCAGGAGCATGTTGTTTAATTTCCGCATATGCGTAAATTTTCTGAATTGCTCCTATTATTGATTTCTAGTTTCATACCCTTGTGGTTATAAAAGATACTTGATATGATTTCAGTCTTTTAAAATTTGTTAAAACTAGGGCCAGCCCGTGGCTCACTCGGTAGAGTGCGGTGCTGATAACACCAAGGCCACGGGTTCGGATCCTATATAGGGATGGCCGGTTTGCTCACTGGCTGAGCGTGGTGCTGACAACACCAAGCCAAGGGTTGAGATCCCCTTACCGGTCATTTTTAAAAAAAAAAAAAAAAAAAATTTGTTAAAACTTGTTTCATGGCCTAATATATGATCTACCCTGCAGAATGTTTCATGTGCATTTAAGAAAAATGTGTATTCTGCTGCTTTTGGATGGAATGTTCTGTGTATGCTTGTCAGGTCCATTTGGTGTAGGGTATAGTTCAGGTCCAATATTTCTTTACTGATTTTCTGTCTGGATGACCTGTCCATTGTCAAAAGTGAGTTATTGAATTCCCCAACTATTACTGTATTGCAGTCTTCTCTCCCTTCAGATCTATTAATATTTGCTTTATATATTTAGGTGTTCTGATGTTGGGTGCATATATATTTACAATTGTTATATCCTCTTGATGAATTGATCCCTTTATCCTTATGTAATGACCTTCTTTGTCTCATTTTACAGTTTTTGACTTAAAGTCTATTTTATCTGATAGAGGTATAGTTACCCCTGCTCTATTTTGGTTTGCCTTTGCAAGAAATATCTTTTTCCGTCCCTTCACTTTCAGTCTATGTGTATCCTTAAACCAGCTGCCTCTTGCTTTGGTTCAGATGCACAGTGGTTGCCTGGCAACTAAAGGAGGGGAGAACAAAGGTTTTTTTCAGGATGACTTGCAAGCCCCTGGCCTGATGTTCAGGGACTTGGTTTACAGGCAGTCTCTGTGAGACCTCTTTCACTGTGTCCCTGAAGTGTTGGCTCTGCTGCCTCCTGGAAGGCTGGCTTTAAGGTCCTCCCCTCCCCAGGCTAACCAGTGGCCTCTGTCTTGCAGGGGACAGCTGAAGCAATGGCTGGGTGGGGTCATGACCCTCCAGAGGGACTCAGACTACTGGCACTGGTCATGATCTTGGTCCTTGTGCTTCTCCTGCTCCTGCTGGACATGTGGGGGCTGGACTGCCCCCAGCTAGGAACTGCAGCTGCCTGACACAAGTTCTGCCAGCTGGAGCTGGGGCAGGGGAGGCATGGGGAGGGAGGGTGGTGGGCCCTGATCAGAGGGCCCTATAGGGTCATGAGTCAGGTGTTGCAGCCATCAGAGATGACAGTGATGTCACTGACTCCTCATTGAACACCTTTCGGGGGCCATTTGCTACCTCATTCATTCAACAAACACTAAGTGAGCACCTACTTTGTGCCAGGCACCAGGCTGGGTGTTGGGGACAAGCAGTGAAGAGATGGTCCCAAGTGCTTATAGTTTAGCGGCAGAGCAGACAAGACAAGCGGTAAGTAATGAAACAAGATGCCCTGAGATTAGGATCTCTGCCACCAATCCTGGTGTGATCAGGAGAGACTGGGGGTGGGCTGTGCTCCTTTAAACAGAGTGGCTTACTGCCTTGTAACACCAAGGTCAACGGTATGGATCCAGATTCCCACACTAGCCAGCCAGCAAAAATAAATAAATAAATAAATATACAAACAAACTGAGTGTATTGAGGTAACAATAACCCTATAATATTAATTTTAATCCCCACTTTACAAGGAAAAAAAAAAACTGAGGCTCAGAGACGTTAAGTTGCCTGACCAAGTGAGTAGCAGGGCTAGATTTCAAATCCACATCTGACTCCTTTCCCCCACCTATACTAATCAGGTGCTGTACTCAGCATCACTTTTTATTCTGATGCTTTGACAGCTGGGGCTTTGTGAATCCAGACAGATGGCCCCTCCCAGGGCTAGCCAGTTCCTACAGATAGTAAAGGACTCACCTTGCTAGTGCACCTTTCATATGGAAATCAACCAATCCAGAACCCATATCCCCCAACCACTTCCTTTATCAGGCTTCCAAACTCCTGACCACTATCCGCCTGTCCTAATCACCCCAGGGCCAGGCACCCGACTCAAAACAGCCTCTATGCCTCAGAGACCCCTGAAATGATTTAAACTAGCCAATCCTAACCCTGCTTACCCTGCCTCACCCATTCCTTTCTGCACAATAAAGGCTCTTACCCACGTTCCTCCTCCCCCTCTCCCCCAACCTCCTTACCAGCCCTGGTGCTTGCCCATGTGGCCCCGTGTAGTGCCTGCTCTTGGGAACTGTGAATAACAAATTATCTTTTCAAT